CACCCGCACCCGCACCCGCACCCGCACCCGTACAGCCTTTCTCGCAGCAGGCTGTTGACGGCGCGCTCGAAGGCTACACCTTCTCGGCGGCATCCACCCCCGCACCAGTGCCCACGCGTGCGGCGCGAAAGCAGGGCATCCGCACCGACGACCCGCTATGGGATCTCATTTGAATGTCCAGACCTTGTGTCTTGTGTGACTCGCACCTCTCTTGCAATCCTGAAACCATTCGTAAGACGAACATTCAGCGCATGTCCTCACCTCTGACGTGGGGGAAGGGTGCTTCCTGGGGAAGGTGAGTGAGTGCGATTTTTCTCTCGGGCGAGTGAAGGGTGATGTGCGATGGGCCTCTGTCGAGTTGAGTCGAATCAGGGCGGCGCGATTTATCAAAAATCGACCCGCTGAGAAGCAGCGCATAACCGGCAGGGTCCCCATTTGGGCGCTATCTTGCAATCCTCTTCCTCTGCCTCTCTATCCCCCACCCGCGCCTCCCGCACCTCTGCTGTCTGAAGTGCCTCTGCTGCCTCTGCTGCTGCCGTTGCAGAAGCAGCATGCCCGCTCCTACTGCCGACAGCTTCGCTTCCAGGCCTGCCTGAGGGGGCGCACAAGCATCCGCTTCAACAGCCCAACGTGTGTCGTCTGGGTCAAGCGATCTTCCACCTCGAACTTTCGACCCGGCGCCACAGAGGACTAAGGATCAGCCCTGATTCAGAGCCCCTCCCACACCAAGGGACTCGAAAGCTTAGCGCTCCAACTCTTTTTGCATCTCCGTCTCCGCCGCTACCTACCTCGTTCTTCGCAAGGAGGCATCGTCTCCATCGAATGCGGTTCCGCTAAAACACCACCTTGCAGCTCAGCATCACCTCGTACCGCGATGGCTGCGTCGCATCTGCCTCTGCGCAGACCGTCATCGCCTCCTGGACACATGGCAGAGGTCAAGGCGTGTGCCGGCGTCATCTGCTGCGACGCCGACCATTCGGCGCTTCCGTGCGTCGACAGCTGCCACGACTGCACGCTGTCCGCATCGGCATCGCCCTGCTCCGACGCTCATCACATCTCCAGCAGCTGCACTGAACCAACCTGCGGAGCGGCTTCGTCGTCCACGAACCCAGGGCTCTGCACCTCCGCCATCGCCTGCTGCGACGACACTGCATGCGAGGACCTCGCCACTTCGCCCTGCTCCGACGGCGCTTGCTCCGCACCAGAGTGCTCGTCGGCCACCATTGCCGTCCCCACCATCGCCGCCTGTTGCGAAGATGAGGCGTGCGAACCCGTCTCCTCACCCAGGCTGGTGGCCAAGCCCAAGGCTTCCACACGCGACCGACTCGTCCCACCAGAATTGGAGGCTTCTGCACACGTCAAGGCTCACGCGCGGCATTCGGACAAGGAGTGCCAGGAATGCAGGGGGTCCCTGTCCGTATCTGATTCGGCAGAGGGCGGCAGGATGTACGGCAGCTTCCAAGAGCTGCTCGATTGTTGCTGCTGCTCCATGCCACCCACTGTAGACCAATGCTGTGTAGGCAAGACGCCGTACCCATGCAGCACCTCACCGCCTCATCCTCACGAACATCTGGTCCACGACCTTGCGCCGGCGTCTTTCACATCAGACACGCCATCGACCGCCATCACGCACGCTGCGCCATCCACCTCACCTGCGCACAATCTTTGTTCGCGCTCGTCGACAGTCTCGTCAGCGGTTACTCCGCAGCCGCTGACTGAGTCTCCGGCGTCGGCGTTCCCGTGGCCGGCGGACTACGTCGCCGCAACGAACAACGACAAGCACAAGCCTCCCACGACATTCGCGGGGCAAGCAGCGACGCTGGATGACATCCTCACCGAACTGCAGTCGTGGAACGACTGCTTGTTTGAGCAGCCCCACATGCACAGCAGCGGAGGTGGATGTCTGCCGCCAGCCATGACGCTGTGCAGCTCCAACGTCTGCCCGACGGCAGCGCCACACTCGCATCGCGCACCGCACCATTCTCGCGGCGGCGTTGAGGGCGAGAACGGCCACCACGATCCACGGCCGCAGATGTGCCAGTGGGCAGGATGCAACGAGCGTTTCTGGACGGTCGAAGAGCTCGTCGCGCATGTCAACCACTCGCACCTGGCGCCCAAGAATACGCAAGCTGCCGAGAGTCCGAACACGGTCATGCAGCACGCGCAGCAGATCGGCACGATCGACGCGGGCAAACACGCGGGTGCGAGCGTCGAGTGTCTGTGGGACGATTGCCACCAGGTACCCATGCCGATGGCGGGCAAGCTCCAAGATGCGCTCCTGCCGGCCACGGCGGGTGGGGATGTGTGGGACAACGGCGTGGGCGACAAATTTTCGCTCGCCATCCTGCAGCATCTGCTGCACGATCATCTGGGCCAGCACGCGCATCACCCCGGCCACGCCGACGCTGTGCTGCCCGAGCCTCCCAAGGAGGAGTCGGAAGAGGTCAAGGTGAAGAAGCGCAAGGCGAGTACGAGCAGTGGAAGTTCGTGCGACCATGGCCCGCTAGTGTGTCGATGGGAAGGCTGTTCGCTCGAGTTCGACACGCACGCCTTGCTGACGGAGCACCTCGAGGCTGCGCATGTTGGGTCGGGCAAAGCGTCGTACGAATGTCGATGGACCGGCTGTCCTCGGCACGGGCACAAGTTCACACAGAAGCAGAAGGTGCTCCGGCACCTGCAGACGCACACTGGTGACCGGCCGTTCAAATGCACTGTGTGCGGGAAACGCTTTTCGGAGCAGAATACGCTTGCGCAGCACGTCCGCACGCACACCTTGGAGCGGCCGTATGTATGCGACCACCCGGGCTGCGGTAAGGCGTTTAGCGTTGCTGGGTCGCTGACGATCCACAAGCGCACGCATACGGGCAGCAAGCCGTTCGTGTGCAGCTACCCGGGCTGTGGCAAGGCGTTTGCAGAGAGCAGCAACTTGACCAAGCACATGCGCACGCACACGGGCGTCAAGCCGTTCCGCTGCGAAGAGTGCGGCAAGTGCTTCAGCCGGCCTGACCAGGCGAGTCGGCATCGCAAAACGCACGAGCGCAAGAGGCACAAGCAGGACCAGCCCGCGCATGCGAACGGTGAGCTTCTCGTTTAGGGCAATCCAGCAGCATTTGGAGAAGAGCTTTGCGTGTGATGTGGTGAGGAGGCTGAAAGGGTCCAGGACGGCTTCGGGCACGTGACGATGGTGCTTACCAGACCGGAAGGCCAATTTTGCCTCCACATGTCTGAGGCGGAGTTGCTTGAAACTTCCATCATCTCGACATCAACGATGAAGGCGATACAAGCGTTGAGAGGCGTCGCACGGCCCGGTCGCATGGCCACCTCTGTACCTCGCCATGCTGTGAAGCCAGTGATGGCTCGATTCTCCACGAGCGCGCTGTCGCGCATGCCATCAGACGACCCAGGCGGGAAGCCGAACACCGGTCAGCACCGTACGGTCTACGATGACTTTTACAACATCCTTGCCCCCGCCACACCCTCGACCTCGATCGTCATCGCCTCTACATCACCGACGACCATTACGCTTCAAGATGGCCTGGTCCTTTCAGAGCCTGTGGTGATCCTCAACAATCAGGTGTTTCTCTTCGACCATCCGCAACTCAACCAGGACTACGCAACACCCTCAGGTATCGGTTGGGAAGCGTGGATTGATCAACAGGTCAAAGCGGGAAAGAAGCTAGAGGTGACGCAAAAGGTGAAGGACGTATTGGGCATCTTTGAGGTGGTGGATGAAAGACCCGAAATCATCCTCTTCGGCACAGGCAAAAGGGTTCTACCCCCACCAACGCCGATCAGGCAGTATTTGAACGAGCTTGGCATCCAACTCGACGTCCAAAGCACCGTAAGTCCAATTCGCCTCCCCCACCACAAAGAGAAAGACAACAGGAATGAGAATCAAATGCTAATGGTGCTGATTTTCGTGGCAACAAACAGCACGATGCAGCTTCGACGTTCAACATGCTCTCCGAAGAAGGCAGGAAGGTCGCGGCGATTCTGATCCCCGCTGAACCAAGCGAGAAAGTGAGGTACACGCCCCAACAGCTCGAACGCCTGCTGGCGGGGAAGCATTGAACTGTCTCACCCCCTTCACACAACACACCCACTCCTGTCGCAATGCACACTCTTCCACGCGAACAGCCTGTGGAAGCGCACTGAGATTGAATCGCGCGCTTCTACTCGTCGCGCCGGCTGTCGGGCGCATACGAGACCGACTTGCCCGTGCGTTCCGAAATCTTGGCCGAGATCGACTCGATGAGCGTCCACGTAAGACCATGCCTGTGCACGCGAACCAAGCAAACGGGAAACCTGTCAACAACCACGCCATGGATGAAATCAGCCGCCACGGGACCAACTTACGAGATAAAACTGCGGAGCGCCGAAACGCCGAGACCGCGATAGAGCCGCAGGAAGCGCGCGAGGAAGGTGTCGGTCTTGAGCACGCCCCGGCCCTGGGCGTGGGGTATTGGTGGTCGCTCCTTGATCATGTGCAGGAAGACTTGCCAGCCGGTGTACTGGCGCGGCGTGCCGGCGAGTGCGTCGCGCTGTACCTTGGTCTTGATCAGGTCCACGGGGTAGACGATCAGCCACGACAAAATGCCCGCGGACGAACCGGAGAGGAACGACACCACGGGGCCCGGAATGCCGTACAGACTTGGACTTGCACGCCCGGGCTCCGTCTTGGAGTGGCGCGAGACAAGGCTGCGGATGGTGTCGTAGAAGCCAAAGTAGAGTGCGGTGCCAAAGGTGTCGCGTGCCATGTGCAAGGGAAAGCCCATGTAGAAGCCCTTGATGCCGCCAAAGTTGCGGTAGATGTTGGCGGCGGCCTGGAAGCCGGACTGCGGCACGAAGGTGCGACCGCCACTGCCGCCCTGCGGCGCCTTCTTGACAAGACCCTTTTGGACGGCAATGAGGTACTCGAGTTGACGCTGCACTTTGACGAGTTCGAACGGCGCCGAACCGCACGAGATGATGATGCCGCTGGTGGCGCCGCCTGCTGCGCCGGAGAGTGCGGTGTGGAGAAGGCGTGGCGAGTCAAAGACGTGTTGGCGATGCAAGGAGGATTTGGTGTTGTAGTAGATGGAGAAGGAGGAGGTGCGCACAAACGAGATGGTGATGAGCGGGATGGTGACGCCGCGAAAGAAGCCGCGAAAGCCTTCTTCGCGCACGACGGCTTTGGCGCACGCCCATATGGACGGATAGTCGCGCACCTGCAGCCGCGACTTGACCGAGTCAAACGGAAATGATGCCGCCGTGGACACGAGCGAGGCAGTTCCGGCCGTCACGACGGTGCGGTTGGTGAGCAGAAAGTCGTCCACCTCTTCCTTGGTCCACTGTTGTGAGCGTGCCCAGTCGACCGTCCGGGCGTATACAGACGTTGGCCCGCGTTCCGATGGCGAGTGGATTGTGTACCTTGCATGTTGCGATGTGGGCGAGGTGGGCGAGGTGGGAGATGCAAGAGGTTGGTGTCGTGATGGTCCCGCTACAGACTGATGTGCAATCGAACGGCAGGGGCAACCGTAGTGGCTGCAACCATGCGTGTCCATCACAGCTGCCGCTTAGCTAGCACAGGGGAGAACGCTGTGATGAGGGCGCCCGAGCGTGATGGTGGTGGTGATCGTGATCGTGATGGAGAGGGAAAGTCCGGGTGGAGTCGAGCGTCCGCCGAAATGCGGTGATGTGAAATCGCACCAAAAAAGGCGCGTGGTTGGCAGATCGGCAGCAGGAGATGGCGATGTGACGTCCCCATGAAATCCGGCCGCCCAATTTGGTCAGCCTTTTGCTTTTTCAGCGCTCCTCCGGCTGCATCTGTCGTGCCTTTTTTCCGAATGGACCGGGCGCCATCCTCTCAATTCCGCCACGCCGATACAGACACCCCATCGGGTCGTCCCTCTCCATCTCCTCACCACTCGACTGCTCGACGTCACGCAAAGATGATCTCCAAAAGGTGCTGCGATTGCACAAGACGTGTAATGACCACAAGAGGCCGGGAGGGTGACCGAGAGTATTGCGACAAAGAAACCATGCGATGGGGGAAACGGACATAAAAAACAGGACATCCGAGAGGCTTTAAGCGCGCTAAGATGAGGGGTATGCTGTCTTGTTGGTGTTGGTTTTTGAATAAGAAAATTGGGTGGGGGACGACGTCCTAGAGCGAGTCGTGGTCGTGTCGGCTCTTCTCCAGCGCGGGGAGCGAGTCGTTGTGCGAGCTCGAGTCAAAGCCGCCCATGCCGTCGACGTCGTGGCGCTCCTCGAAGGTCTCCTCGATCGTCTTGATGTGGATGCCCGTCTCAAACTGCTCCTGGCTGTTGTACTCGGCCAGGCCGTTCTCAACATCGTGCTGCGAGGCGTGGGTGCGGATGATCGTGGGCTGCTTGTTGCCGCCGGGACGGAAGACGTTGGATCGCTTGGTGCGCGTCGAAATGCCGCGACGCGCATTGTCGCTCACCGAACCCTCCATGGTGTACTGCTGTGCGCCGGCGCCAATCGTCACGCGTGCGTTGAGCGTAGAGAGCAGCGAGTTGACGTAGAGCTTGGCGAGCGGCAGGTTGAAGACGAGGTGGAGCGTCGTCGTCGACGCGAGGAAGAGGATGAGGTCGATAATGGCAAACAGCGTGGTGAGCGCACCCGTCTGGAGCGTCATGCGGATGAGCTTGGTGATGACGTCGTCGGTGGCGGCGAATCCGGTGCGCGACTTGTTGAGCGTAAAGACGAGCGAGCCGGTGATGAGCACGTCGGTGAGCGCGGCGAATCCGAGCCAGAGGATGACGACCACCTGGAACTTTTGGAATTCCTGGAAGAAGAGGACAATCTCGACGCCAATCGTGGTGCCAATGGCGCTGAGCAGCGATACGGCCGCACCGACGCAGATGAAGGCGGGCATGATCTTGGAGTGCATGAGCTTGTACACGCGCCAGGCGAAGAAGAGCTGGGTGGAAAAGGCGATGATGCCGGTCATGACGGGGTCGGCGGCGAAAGCGCGGTTGCTCTTGGCGGCGTAGGTGAGGTTGCCAAAGTTGGAGACCAGATACTGGTACATGAACACCTGGTCGAATACGGCGTTGATCGTGTCGGCGACCACGAGGAAGAGCACAAAGTATCGCATGAAGGGCTTGTCGCTCTTGAAGTGTACATAGTAGATGTACGCCTGCACAATCGAGAAACCGAAGAGCCAGACGTTGAGCATGACGCCGATGTACATGCAACCCAGCGAGAGGTCCATGGAGGGAAACTTGGGCATGAGGTCCGCCATCTTGTCCAATGTTTTGCTAGGAGTCTAGCGGATATGTGGGAGGGCGCAGGGCGAAGTTTTATGGGTAAGGAGCAGTGGGATCCGTAGCCGATGGTTGGCCGCAGGAGACGCACGAGACGATGGTCGAACGAGGCAGCGACGCAAATGAAGGCTGGAACGGGGTGCGGCAAGAGGCGGACCGGAGCGGAGGTAGCCAATTACGGAGGAGGCAGGAGCGACAACCGGTGGGGGGTGGGGTGGGGTAAGAGCGGAGTGGGTGGGGACGAGAAGGGATTCCGGTCCAGTGGACAGGGCGGTTTTATGTATCTGGTAACGACGACCGACGAGGGCGATGGTCGAGCAAGCCCCCTCGAATGAAGAATCGGCGTGGCAGCGCGTCGTCGAGCCAAGGGGAGGGCGAGGGGAGCCTACGGGAGCCTACGGGAGTTCCAGGCGCCGATGCGAGTTGCACGGCGGAGCGCGTCTGGCGTTCCCACTGGGCGCATGGAGGTGCAGGTGCGGGCATGAACCGGTTCGAGGCTGCGAGCGTCGAACAGGGCTTGCTCGCCGATGGAACCCAGTTCGCACACACCGTCACTCTGCTGAGTATGGAGACAGAGAGCGCGGGGTGCACGGCAGCGGTTCCTTGTGCGGCTCAATTGTGAGTGTATGCGGGCAATCGAGCAGTGTGCGAAAAAGGGTTTGTGGAAGGGAGGAATGGGCGGCTGCAGGGTGTACAGGTGAATAGCTGTCATCCCCTCGTCGTGCCTTTTTTCCGACAGGCAGAGTGCAGTTTTCTTTTCGCTACTTTTTTTTTCATATGTTGGCGCGTCGTTGGATGAGCGAGGAGGCGTTGAGAGGGACGAGGCTAAGCGGCCAAGCGAGCTGCAAAGGGGATGGATTGCGAGCATTGGCCGAAAATCGAGGGCCCCAGTCAGTCGTGCAGCACTGCAACGCGCGTCGCCGCTCGAGACTCCCTCGGCCCCCCAACTTTATTTTTTTTTCTTTTTCACTTCTTTTTTCATTTTGCTCGTGCGTGCCTGGTGCGAGTCGTGCGCCGCGGCGGAGTGGTAGCGTGGAAAAAAAAAGAGAGCATGAGAAAGACACACAGACGGAACTCCAAGGGGAAGAGTCCCGGCTCGTGCCCGCCCGTGTCTTTCTCGTGCAACCTTCTTGGCCGTCGCAAGTGACCAAGAAAGTTGTGGCGCAAGAGCCAAGATGCAATGCGGCTCCAAGCGATGGGTGCCAGAACGTCGTTGCTCTCGCCGCCATTGCTCGTAGTCGAGCGTCGCCATCGAGCGTCGCCTGCCTCGCGGCCACTAGCTCAAAGTGGCGGAGGAAAGGGGGGAGGCCTGCACGGAGCCTTGTGACAAGTCGGTTAAGACTTTCATTCCAGTTGCTTCGGAGAGCGTGGCGGGTGTGGGAGTGTGCGGACCCATCCGAACGCCACCTGCCACCTCGCTCGGGCGGATGCGAACAAAGATCGACGGATCCCATGCCACTCGGGGAGCTTGGGAAAACCACCCGCACCCGCGTCCATTCGACTCCCACCGCGCCGCTTCTCTTCTTTCGTCAAGGAAAATGAACAGCACAATCGTCGTACCACCTTCCGATGCAATCAATCGTGTTGTTGTTGTCGCACACTCATTCTCCTGGCTGCACTCAGCTTGGATTGCGGATCTGCGGATAGGAGACGTCCGACATGCCATATGTATCAAAGGCAGAGCCAATGGCCAAGCCAGCTGCAGTCTGCACGCACCAAGCTTGCCGTTTTCGCCTCCGCTTGGGCATGAGAGAATTTTGGATGCAGGTGCCGTTTCGGATCTTTTTTTTTCTTGGATTTTTCGAACGACGCCGCTGCGCCGCCGCCCAACGCCCAGACCCTCTCTCCGTATGGCCGGCCGGCGGGGGAAGGGGGGGGG